CCCGCCCTCCTCGGCGCTCCTGATTGGACAGTTCGTGCAGTCTTCCTCATAGGCGCTGATTGGCTCCTGCTCCGCCGCGCTCTTCGCAACCTGGAAAGACTGACCTGCGTAGAGAGTTGGGGTGATTGTTACCCTGGATTTTCTGGACAAGGCTGTCTATTCCAATTGCTTTGACTTGCTTTCCTCTTTTTTTGGACCAGGAATGAAACTACCTCGCGTTTGTCGGGCAGGCACTGAGCCTTATCCTGGGCTCCAATAACTTCACCTTGCCTAACAAGACTTGCGCTTCAGCAGTGTATTCCTCGCTTTCCAGAGGTGCTCGTTTTCCTAGTGGACTGACTGTGCTCTTCCTGCAGTGGGGTTCCTTGTGTGCTGAAAAGGTTCCTATGTAGGCCAGAGTGTATTTCCTGGTCTTTCCAGGCAGGGAAGAGCGCAGTGCAGCAGGAGCCAGTCAGCGCCTAGGAGGAAGGCTGTAGGAGCTGCGCGTTCTCCGCCTCAGACCCGCCTCACCACGCAGTGTGTCCTGTGGAGGGATCAGTCCTCTGCCGGAAGAAAACACCATGAGAGCAGGACAGGTCTGTCCGGCTGGACCCGAAGGGCCGCCGAGGCCACCAGCACAGGCATGCTTGCAGCAAGCAGCGAGATCTTCACTTCAGGCTGGCTGCAACCTGGCCAACGGCAGCAAGCCCTTGACCACGAAAGAAGGAACAGTCAGTTTTGTACACTAGCCTGAGGCATGGGAGGGGGCATTTCACTGAGGAGGATAGAAAATTTTAAGATTTTCAGGGGTCATGGGTAGGTCCGGTGCCTCTGTGTGGAGGGCAGGACAGCAGCGTTCTGCTGAGTCTCAGTGGCGTTCTATAGTGGGACCCGCCTGGGGGACGTGAGGTGACAGGATTTGCTGACCTTCAGGGCGGCAGTCTGTACAGTTGCAGTTTCCTGTAAGCCTGAGAACAGGCTGGGAGCCGTCCAGCCTCTCATGCTGAGTGAGGGGCTTTCTTGTTTGAACAGACTGGTCTGACAAAGTGTTCTCTTCAGGTTGGGAGGGTCTAATTGTGAGGACCTAACAATATCAGGACCAAATGGAATACAGGGAAGGGTGGCTGTTTCACAGATAAATATTTGTGAATGAAGCAGCTCTATCTCGACTCATTTTCATTCAAGAAATTGAATACATGCCACCCCTATACAGTTGTAATGTAGATGGAGAAATCAGAGCAACATAAGAGCAATATTCTACGAAACAGGAAAAAGAAACAGGCAAATATTCCAATTCCTTTTGACACCCTTATATTTCATCCAGGATCAAAAGAGGAAAAAGAAAACCCTGAATGTCAAAGATAATTATATTACCAGGCATGAGGGCAGAAATGATTGTTGTAATGGACCCAATGTTGTAGGCAGCTGAGTTAGATAGAAACAGTACAGGCAGGTGCAGGTTCAGCCTGGATCCCCAGGCACACCACCTGGCCAGCATAGGTGGGCGTCCACTGCGAGGCCCCAGTACAGGGTGTGGTGATGTGGGCCTGTGATCCCAGCACTTGGGAGGTTGAGCCAGGAGGATCCCTTTGAGTTCAAGACCAGCCTGAGGGCTACAAAAGTGAGTACAAGGCCAGTCCAACTGCATAGTGAGACCCTGTGTCAAAAAAATAAAAAATAAAAAAGATTGTAGGCAGTTAATCAGGGTGGGCCCACAAGGAGCCAGTATGAAGAACAAGATACCTTGCACCTGTAGGAAAGACAGGCACACCTGACATAGGCCAGACCTCAAGACAAAGGATTAAACAAATGCAGCCACATCTCTCCCTAGGGATAGATTGAAGGGACTGGCATTCTAAATAGGTATCAATCACCTTGAAAGAGCCAGGAGGAGTTATCAACTCAATCCCCTACAGCTGAGCCCCTGTTCTGTACTCCTGTCTGCTTGCTAAGTGACTCCCTTCCCCATTTGACTTGCTACACACTTTGAGCTCCATTTAATGTTATCTGAACAATTGGGCTTGTAATTTTATTGGTTGACAGTAGTTTTGTCCCAGTTCAAGCCCACCTAGTGAGTTCCTGTGTTTCCCACCTTACAGCTGCTTCTCCACGTTTTGCTAAAAAAAAAAGTCTCTAAAAAACATAGGTTTCTTGAACCCACTGGATCTCCTTCTCTTCCTTTCTCCAAAAGAAGCTTTCTTTCCCCCAATAAATATATTCTTCTCTTAACCTCCATTGTTCCCAAAATTCACTGTTCAGTGTTAGAAAATACCACCTTGATATAGGGGAAAATGAAACTCCTGACCTGAAAGGTACCTGGGATCAGTGTGTTTTCTAAAACCGAAGAATGAATTTTAGGAACAAATGGAGATTATGAGCAGAATATATTTATTGGGGGAAAGAAAGCTTCTGTCCAGGACAGGGACAGGAGGGGGTGCCCAAGCGGGTGCTCCCCAGGAAGCTGTCTCTTCCAGGGACTTTTATAGAGGAAAACTATTGTGGGTCTAAGGTGCAGAACATGGGAACTCACTTAGGTGGGTATGAGGTGGGACAAAACTATGGTCAACCAATGAGATTTTAAGCACCATTGCTCAGGTAAAATTGATTAAGTCCAGGACCGAATGGGGAAGGGAGTCAGGTAGCAAACGGGTACGAATATAGAACAAGACTTTGTCCAGTAGCCAGCCGGTAGCAGGTGGATTAGTGACTCTTACCGACTTCCTCAAGATGATGATCAATCCCGGATTCTCATCTTAGGGAGGTCAGCATTTGTTTGATCTTTGGTCTTTAGGTCTGGCCTACAGTGGAAGCATCCACCCCTCTTACAATTGTAAGGTATCTTGTCTTCTTTGTTATCTCCTTTGAGGGCAGGGCCCTGTCTGACTGCGTCATCCCAGGTATCTTTCAGGTTGGGAGTTTCCTTCCCTATAGGACCACACTCGATCCTCTTGTTCACTTCCTGGTGAGGACGCAGGGATCTATAAAGAATTAGAGCATAGCTCTACATTCCCTGTAGTTTTGTGATAGGCAGCTGAATTGGATAGAAATATTAAAAGCAGTCAGACAGGGCAGGCACTCAAAGAAAGGAGAGAGCACAGAAGACAACATACCTTTCAACTGGGAGAGAGATGGATGCGCTGACTGTGGGCCTGGCTAAAGACCAAAGATGGAACAAATGCTGGCCTCCCTAAAGATGAGCATCAAAAATTGATCATCACCTTGAAGCCAGGAAGAGTCACTAATCCCACCACTACCACCTGGCGACTGGATAAATTACTGTTCTATATTCATGCCTGCTTGCTATGTGACCTGTTTGCCCATTTGGTCCTGGATTTAATCAATTTTGCCTGAGCAATGGTGCCTGTAACCTTACTGGTTGACCACAGTTCTGTCGTTCCTCATGCCCACCTGAGCGAGAACCCATGTTCTCCACCTTAAACTCACCTTACCGCATGGTTTTACTCTATAAAAATACCTTCAAGAGACAGCTTCAGGGGTAACCCACTCGGATTCCCTTCTGTCTCAGAAGCTTGCTTTCTTCCAATAAATATTCTGCTCCTTTTTTTTTTTTTTTTTTGCAGAACTGGGGATTGAACTCAGGTCCTTGTGCTTGCCAGGGAAGCACTTATTCCACTGAGCCATCTCCCCAGCCCCAATATTCTGCTCTTAACCTCTGTTTGTTCCTGAAATTCATTTTTCGGTTTTAAAGAACCCAAACTTGTCTGAGGTAGCTTTCAGGTTGGGAGTTTCATTCCCCATATCAGTTTCCTGTCACCCTTTGAAATTATCCGGCTTCCAACATTAATATTCTGCCAGCTATGGTGGTGTACACCTGGAATCTCAGAACTTGAAAGGCTGACAGGAGAATTGTCATGTGCTTCAAGCCAGCCAGAGCTAAGTGCAGGAGGTCAAGGCCAGCTGATAGCACTTAACGAGATGCTGTCTCACAGGGTGGGGGGAAAGGCCCACAAAACACCAATATTCATAAAAAGAGAATATGCAGTGCTGTGTGAAACTCTTGCTTGAGATGTGCTGGTTTCGGGGAAGCCTTCAAGGTGACTAGCTGAGCCATGCTGGTGTGATCTGACAGACCAAACCTGCCTACTGTTCCGCTGAGTCTCCCTTCCTGTACTCAGGTTCCTGCCTCACATAATGTAACTACACTTTTCTTCACTTTTATTTACCACGTTTCTGCTTTGGAGGCAGTGAAACATACAGTGCAATGTCTTAAATGGCAAGATGTCTTGTTTTTGGATTTTTAGCACTGGAGATCGAG